TCCCAGCTCGCCGGATGCGCTGGAAACAAAGCTCAAAGAGTGGCTGCTGCGCGCAGAGAAAGAATCTCCGCCCGAAGAAATCTTGAAGAAATTCGAGACGTTCAGGCTACCCGCATGGGATCACTACCATCACATACTGATAGCGTTCCTGCTCCTCAGCATTCACGGACGACAGAAAGGCAAGTCGTTTAGTCGAGATCTCGAGCCTCATTGACGTCGAACTCCAGGGAAGGATATGATTTTCGACGGCCTAGAAAGGTACATCGCCAATAGCGAGCAAACGCGCGGTCGGACATTCCATGTCACCATGACATACTTCTGGATCCAGATGGTCCACTTTGGAATGGCTCGTATGCCGCCGCGTGAATCGAGTCCAGAAACGGATACGTCGAGCGACTACACACTCATAGCTGTCGCTGGCGATGAAAACGGAGAGAAGCAAGTATCCGCAGAAGAGGAATCGCTCAACGATCGTTTCGTGCGATTCCTCTTCACCAATCCTCATCTCGCGGACGGTACGCTGATTCCTTCTTCCTCGCTCTGAGCTGCAAGTCTGACTCGGCCATGATGACAGGAAATTTGTGGGCTGAATATTATTCGAAAGACGTAATGATGAGCCCAGAGGCGAAGGCGGCTATGGTGCTTCCCGACAAGAAGCCTTTGCCAAGTCTCGTCGGCACAAAGGAAAAGTGAATCGATACGCCGCGTCCGTGACCCATTGTAAATAAGTAGTATCTCGATATGAAATGAAGGCGTCCTCTGCGTCCACGGCTGGCGCAATCTTGAGCTTGAGCCACGCCGGTGCACCCCGGATGCGACGAGCGCACAATATTTCGACTGCCACACGAGCTCCAGTATTTCGACTCTCCAGGATCAGAGTATGAACCCACGAGCCAAAGGGATTGTGGGACACCGACGAGGTGCGAGTTTGGTCCGACCTGCAGCCAGCGCGACGAACGAGAAGATGCCGTTGCGTAAGACGATCGCATCGACATGCCAGCAGCAGACGAGCAGACGGTGCAAGACAGCACACAGTCGCCCGCCGCACGAAAGCAATGTGGCAGAAAGCTGCGTCTACTGCACGACGCAAGAGTCCTACGCATACTCGAGGCGGACACACATCCACCTTCACGGATGCTATGTAATTGCACTGCCTACTCACTCCACAAAGACCCAAACGACCACCGACCCATTGCCTCCCCCGCCTCCCTCCCCTCACGACTATCCAACTCCTGATCCTCTGCCGCGCATACAGCTCGAGCAACGTCTCTCGCTGCGGATGTGTCTTCTTCTTCTTTGGATTGATCCTCCCCGCGTCATTGGACTCGTCAGACATGCTGAGAGAGCCGAAATGCACGTCCACTATCCCAACCTCCGAATCGACAAACAGCTTTGCCGTGTGCGCTGCACACTTGTCCGAGTCCCACCTTGCGCGGAGCATGCCATGAAAGAGCCCGAAGGCGAGTTGCGTGCCGTTGTCGCAGCCAATGGAGATGTTGGTTAGGTGTGCAGCAGCGACGGGCGTCGGGGTCCATCTGCTGCCAATCTCAAATCCGTCATCGCTGACATCCTCATTGTCGAGGTGCGGCGTCACGGTGAGACGAAGGAGGAGGTGTTCCGTCTCGGTACGCGCGCTGTACGAATCCACAATAACGACGAGCTCTTTCCCCGAAGGCAGAGCATGGGGAATCTCGAGGGTATCCTCTGCGGTGAAGTTGCCTGTGATGCAAAGACGTCGCAGCGGGCAGCCCGATCGCGCGACAAGCGCCTGCAGGCTCGTCGCATACGCCTCGAACTTCTCGCCCTTCGCACAACAGAGCGCGATCTCTTCTAAAGCGGGCGCACGCAGGTGATCCAGTACCGCCGCAGTGTGCTTGAGGTACAGCCGCCTCAGGGCAGGCAGCGCCATGACGTCCCCCTCCTTGCGCGGGTCCGGCGGAAGGACAATGCCGAACCGTACGTCAACGCGCGCCTCGACGAGTGCGAACCGGGCGTGCTGGAGGATATGTCGGTGCATGTCCCAGAGCCCGTCGATGCTGTACCGCATGAGCTGGCCGACGGGGAGGTGGACGGCGATGTAGTGATTCTCGTTGAATAGGTGCACTACGTCCGTCAGGCGGTCTCGAAGGATCTGATGAGCTGTTGCGCAGGAGGGCGCTGACGACTGTGCGCCGCGTCCCACTGCAGATAGAGTCGGCGCAGCTGGGGGAATGATTCATTTAGCGGGTTTATGAGGAGAGCCTGAGGGAGAAGACTGGAGGTGACGCTGAGGGTGATCTTCTCTAAGCGCGTGGATTGGGCGGTGAGGAGGATGAAGAACTCGAGTTGGGGCCAGGGGCGTATTGCTCGGAGCCGTAAAAGTGGAGCTTCTTGGCGCGATAGCGGGAAAGCTGGGCTTGGAGCATGGAAGCGGGGTAAGGAGAGACCTCTTCGTAGCCCAGCCCGCCGTAGTTTACTGCGATCAATGACAAGAGGGAGGGTGGCGAAAGCGCGACTGCGCGCCATGCGCTGCACACGCGAGAGAGGACTCAGGATGATTCGGCGAGGTCGAGGCTGCCGTGTCTGTGCACATTTAGAATTGAGGGCAGAGTCCAGGAGAAGATTTCCAATGATATCTCGGGAGGAAGTTGACGGAACGGGGAGACGATTGCTTTGTTTCTGGCTAGATATTAGGCTAGATAGGCCTTCTGGGTGTCTGGTTATCTCATTCGCGCCCGCAATCGAGCAATGTTGGTGTCGATGCGCGTCAGACAACTTTCGGTCTGGGATATAACCGACTCGAAGACTTCCAAGTCTTGAAGATCTTCGGGACAGTCATTGGAGTTCAAGACCCTGTGGTACTACATTCCGATGAGCTTGGTTACTCTAACACGACGCAATTCTTCAAGTACATACCTCAGGTGTTGTATGGAAACGAATTCGTATCAGGCCCAGACCCTTCCCCTACGAGGAATCCGCATTCAAGGCATCGAACAATTACTTTCATCGTGACAGTTTGAGGGAACTTGAAGAACTTGAAGACGAGACGGGAAGCCATCGTGGTGACCATTGACGGTTGCTGGGCGCCTCGTCGTGATCCTATGCAGCCTGAGGTGGCGCCCGCAGCATACTAATCAAGCAAACTCCAAGCAGCCAAATGTAGAGACTCGTCTGAAGATATGAAGCAAGCAGATAGTCAACAGATAGTGGTCAAGAACAAGAAATCCAGTGACGCGTGACCTGAAAATTCCTGCCACTGACCATCACCTCCAAAGCCTTTGTTGCCTCATCCTTACCCTTGGGCCTACCTGTGCTCTTCCTAGACCCGCATTGTGCTGTTCATCGAAGTTTCTAGACTGCTGTTATTATGCTGTCGCACATGGAGCAAGACCGCGCTCTTTTCGCGCAAAAGGGAGCTGAGATTCTCGATATTCAAGCGCAGATGGCCGCCATGGCCCGGACTCTAGCTGCAGTGCGAGATGCTCAGCAACTCATTTGGGAACGGCTGCAGTCCTACAAATACCCAGTCCTTTCGTTGCCCAACGAGATCGTTTCTGAAATATTCGTTCACACTATTCCACCCTACCCCCATCCGCCATTAATCTCCAACGACTGCTCGCCGACTTTTTTGACCCATATTTGCCGCCAGTGGCGTGATATAGCTATTGGGACCCCCGAACTGTGGCGGACTATCACCTTGGTGTCTCCCGAAGGAAAATCGTTGGAATCGGAGCAAGCCTTCCGCCTAACGAGCTTGTGGGTGAAGTGGTCAGGCTCCTGCCCTCTTTCCATCCATACAGAGGACTTGACCCCAGTCCTTTCTGTTCTCCTTCCGGCACGCATGCGTTGGGAACACTTGAAACTAGCCATTCTCGATCACCCGCCGGACATGCAGGACGGCCCGTTTCCGTCGCTTCGCTCTCTGGAGCTGTCTATAAAGTCAACACACTCAACAACATCATTTCACATTCACTCAGAATCCGCCCCTCTTCTGCGCAGCGTGAAGCTTTTCACCCGAGGCTCCGGGACCGTCGATCTGCCATGGGCGCAATTGACCTCTCTCACATTACGCATAATAGAAACCCCCGACTTCAGGCGTATCCTGCGACAGACTCGCCACTTGGTACACTGCACCCTGTATTGCTACAATGTTGTCCGCGATCCAGATGGGCTGGGCTCAGAAATATCTCTACCTCATCTAGAATCCCTGAACATCCAACTGGATGGTGATGGTGAGATGGATGATGTTCTCGAGAGCTTGATGGTACCCAATCTGCAAATCTTGCGCGTCTCTGAAGACACTCTCGGGTCCCAACGCATCGAGACGCTCAAGTCTTTCATCTCCAAATCCAGGTGCAAGGTCAAGGAGATACGGATCACTGATGCAGCAATCTCATCGGAGGACGCCTATCGTGTTGCATTCCCTTCGATAGCTCGTGTTCAGGCCCTCGTACACGGAAATTTCTATGATTAAATGTGAGTCAATCAGTACTAGTACGTCAGTCTTGCACGAAAATTGACAATTTCTAGGCATTACCCACGATGCAATGAGGATTGGGACATCTTGACGATCCCCTGATTCGGAGTTAGAAAACATAGCACGCGGTGCAGCCTTTTTATCTCATCTGAATGAACTAAGCCTGAACACATATCACCCGATTCCTCGACGACATATATACTGATTACCTTACATTCATCATGATAGTCTGGTCCACATCAAAGCCTAGAAAATATTGAGACAGGGGGAAGGTGACCTTGGGAATTTAAAGCGGCCCTGGCGGCGCTGCACATTCTGTTGCTTTGCATCATGGAGCCGCTTTCATTCAAGTTAGTGGGGTGGCTAGGTTCTTCGCAGTATGGGCGCAAATCACACACTATAGCAGTGTCGACAAGGATGCACATCCTTCTGATCTGATTTGAATTGCAAAGGTCTACTTCAGACATGACTTTTATTCGTAAAGTGCGGCAAAGCCAAGTCGCGATTCGTTCGAGGCGTAAAAAATAAAGAAGGGCGAACCTTATGACCACCGCAGGGGTCGAACCTGCAATCTCCTGATTTAGGAACTGAAATATCAGCTTTGAATCGTAGTCAGACGCGATGCCATTTCGCCAGGCGGCCAACATAGAGAAAGTAGCGGATGGCTACTCAATGCAACCGCTCGACAAAATGGACAGACGAATGACAGGAAAAGGCAAAACAAGAAACAAGAGGACACCACTCATACTAGAAATCAAATCCAATGCATCGAGGCAAGGGTTTAGGCGGGACGGAACGGCTGCTGAGTGAATAACGCCGAATAAGGGCTGGGGTAGATGCACGGAGTGAAGTGGCGAAACAGGGGTGCCAGGAAGACGCGACTTTGGCGTGTATTGAAGAGCGGATCCGGACGAGTGAGACGTCGTTGACTCGTTGTGCGCTAAGAGGATGGAAATGGCAACGACGGCAAAGTTTCCGTTGATCGTGTCGACGCCGTGTCGGGGATCGAAAGTGCCTGATACGACGTATGCTAATGGACCCGTCGTACCAGCGCACGTACTTATGTGTGGCGGTAGCATTTTTCGACTGCCAGGCAATTGACTCCACGCGCGAGCAGCGTCGGCGGGTTCGGCGGAGGCGACGGGTTTGGTGGAAGAGAGTTGGGAGCCGACACGTGGGGCTGCGGACCTGAGATGGGTCAGTACATCCGGCATCAAACAGGATATCGAGTTCATCGTACAGGAAAGCGCAGGGCGTGTCAGGGTTGACGAATTTCGAGTGGCCATAAAGGCGAGGGATCTGATTTCTGTACGTTTGAACAGTCGTCTTGGAAAAGTATCTCGAAGCCGGTATCAGAGACTAGAGACTCTAGAGGAGACTAGTCAGGACGGCGTGATTGACGTTGTCAAGCAAAGGTGTCGTGAGGAGTGACGCCCGACCCGTCGGAAACTTGCAGTGGCATGCACAGCGGGTCGACGGATCTGGGGATGGCTTGGCCTCGCACAGGGAGGGGACGGGTTTCGAGACGGTAACGTTGATTGAGGTTGGTTGGCAAGTGGACGACACGAGTGGTGGCTGAGGGACATTGTTTCGAGTTGGTTGATGGGAGGCGAAGTTGGCGCAAGTCGACAAGGAGAATGACGAGAACGGCAGGCTTTGTGGTGAGAGGGTCGGGTTAATAGAGCTGCACGCAGAGTGAAGGAGGCGTGAGGCTTGAACGGCGGGACGGACAGATGATGGCTGCCGGAATGGACGTGCAGCGTGGGATGACGAAGGCGTCTGTACAGAGCGGGTTGAGTAAGCAGGGGCAGCGGAAGTGGATTCAGAGGGCTGCCAGTGAGTCAGTGTCAGCGTGGATATTGAAGAAAAGCGTCTTGCAGACGCACCAAACGCGAGCTCAGCCTCGCAAAAAATACACATACAGTTGCTCCAAGCTGGCAGCCCAGAGGTGGGACTTGAGACGGGCGGAGAAGCGACGCCAGGGTATACGCCGGGAGTGACGGTTGGATGGCAACAAGTGCAAGCAAACTCCTTCCAAATCAGGCACTCGGCGTTGAGTCGCTGAATCGGGTGTCATCGTAACCACCACGCACCAGACCAGAGTGTCGATGATTGAGAAGCATCCAAGAACTCTATCCGTCATAACCGACTGGATGCCAATGCGCCAACCCCACGCACACATGCAGAACGCTGCGCCTGACCTCGGACATCATTTGACATCATGCGAGAACACGGACCTGACCCCGCTCGGAATCCAACTCGGCGTAGCCCTCCGACCACTATAAAGACCTCGCCATCGTTCATCGTCGTCGACCACATTCTCCATCATGCGATTCGCCTTGCTCACCCTCGCTTTCGCGCTGCTGCCCAGCTCATTAGCTGGTTTCTCCGGCAAGACATGTAGAATCATGCCTCTCGGAGGTGCGTGTCGTCGAGCCTATCTCTCCGCACCCACACTCAACGCTAACATCAACCCAGCATCGATTACCTTCGGCACAGGCAGCAACGACGGCAACGGCTACCGCGCCACGCTCTACAACCTCCTCGCCGCCGACGGCAACACCGTCAACATGGTCGGCTCCCAACGCGGCGGCAACATGGCCGACCCCGACAACGAAGGCTACCCGGGGTTCATCATCTCCCAGGTCCGAGACAAAGGCAACGCCGCCATGACCGTCCAACGACCCAACATCGTCACCCTCCTCGTCGGCACCAACGACATGACAGGCAACGTCGACGTCGGCAACGCCCCCGCCCGTCTGACGCAGCTCATCCAAAACGTCTTGGACGCGCCCCCTCTCACGCTCGTCGTCGTTTCCACTCTCCCGCCGAACGCAAACTCGGCTGCGAACACCCGCATCAACACTTACAACGCTGCGCTCCCCGGCGTCGTGCAGGGCTTTGTCAATGCGGGGCGCTCGGTGGTTTTAGTCGACTCGCATGCCGTTGTTGCGTTGGGAGATCTTGTAGATGGCACGCACCCGAATGATGCCGCGTACGCGCGGGTGGGGAGGGTGTTCTATGATGGAATTCAGGCCGCGTTTGCCAAAGGGTGGATTTTTGATGTTCAGGGTCCGGCGCCGTGAACGCTGTATTTGATCTGTTGTATGTATCGCGGAAAGGAAACGGACAGAATTTCTTGTTTTAGTAGAGCTTACATGGATGGCTGCGCGAAATTGATGATTTAGATTGACTTTTGCCAGCCAGCAATGATTGTCGTTAACATTCGAGAGCTCAAACATATCTTCAACTTCAAATTGCACCAAAGATGAAAGAATTGAGACTTGAAATTTGAATGCGTACTCGTTTTCTTCAAGTCTTCCACGACTCGCCGATACTCTAAGTTGAACTCCGAAACAGCAAAAGGTTTTGAACAAATCACCAGCCGTAGAGCTGACCTAGATAGAACGAAGGCGGATCAATACGAAACTGATACAACGAAGGAAATCGCAACTTGCCTTATCTTTCGGCCTTGGTAGCGAGGCGGGCGTACGTTGAACTTGATACAAGCGACTGCATGTCGATAGCCTCCAAATCTAATCGTTTCCCAATATTAATCAGGGGACGAATGGTTCGAATTGCAATTCGAACGTGTCAACGTGTGATATGTCGATGAGAAGCAGGTCACAGCGGTATTTGACACTGTACTTAGTCAATCAGGTCAAATTCGGCCAGTAGTAGTTGGACTTGAATTTGAAGCATAAACGTCACCAAATTGGAGGATTTTTTATCGCTCCTTGCGCGAGATTCAATTAGTTGTCGCCACCTATTTGCTCGCCAGCTGCAGACGAATGATTCTCATTCGAGAGCTGCTTAAACATATATTCAGCGTCAGATTGCACCAAAGATGAAAGAATTGAAGTTTGTAGTACGCGTATGTATTCGTTTCCTTCAAGTCTGAATAAAACTGTTCAACGACTCGCCGATACTCCGAGTAGAATTCCAGAATCCAAATGAATCAGCAAAAAAATTTGACCAAAATGTTGCTTCACTCACCCGCGCAACACCGGCCACGATGAATCAGATCGCCCGAGGGCGGATAAATACGCAACTTGAACCAACGAAGATTATAAGCTTTGCATATCTCAAAATCGCAGCTTATCTTATTTTTCAACCTTGATAGCGGCCCAAAGCGAGGGGTATGTACTTGTTACAGGTGACTGCTCCTTCCGTTATCGCACGGCTTCAAGATCTGAACTAGTGTTAGAGCCGCTGTAAGTGCATGCATGTCGATACCGTCGAAATCTAATACTAGTTTCCGAATATCAACCAGAGGTTATGCTTCAAATGTGAGCGTGTTAACCTGTAATATGTCGATGAAACGCAGGCAAGCAGATTTGGCACTGCAGCTAAGTCAGTCATAGCCAACTTCGGCCAATTGATGGAATTTTTGGACTCGTTCGATGGTCTGAAAGCGGTGGTGCCTGAAAGAGGCTAGATTTGAACAGGTTAAGCTTGCAATCGGAGGGTAGACGAGGCGAAGTCCTTGGAGAAAATTCTAGGCAAGGTAACTGATGTAGTCGTCGTCGTCGTCGTCCAGAAGTGACTTGCTGAATGCCAGTGCTGGAGGGATCTTTGCTAGTCAACCGAAATGGTAACTTCATGCCTTTCATGAAGGGCGTCGTGAGGACAATCCGTTGTAATTTGCTAAGCCAAAAGAGCTTGCGGGGGAATGGACAAAGCACAACCGGAGGGTTTAGTTGCAAAAAACAGCATAAATATTGAGACCCGTAGGTCTACCACTCCGGAAAAGCGTGTCATCCTTGTGCAGGGGCCATGCTAATCTTCTCTGTATCGTTCCAATTTTTCGTATGACGCCCCGAAGGGGTCGAAATAGAGATGAATTTTCGGATACCGAATGGTGGAATCATGCAATGTGTGCGGCGTACCTTTTATTACGGCACACGGCTACACGGGACCAATTGGCCAAGTTGATGCTGTGAAACTGGATGGATGGAGGGTAAACGAAGGAGGCTTTGCTTTGAGGGCTTCGAGTCGAAAAAATGCGGGAGAGGCTGTTTCTAACCTCCAGCCTGCGGCCGCTTTCGTCATCATTTCGAGACTCTTCCGGACACCGAGGAATTCGACGTTGGATTCATCCTCGTGCAAACTCGCAGGCTCTGGTCGAATCCGAATTTTATTTGGTAAATACAGACAGGGTAAGTTGTACGCATTCTGCATTCATTTTGACTTGATATTGACGCTGACTGGGCGATTTGCAAAGCGAAACGACGGCGTTAGCCCGATGGAGGGCGGCAGTGTGGCGCGTCGGGAGTTGGTGCGAGTCTAGAACGGCGGGAAGGAGCGCGTGTGGAGCACGGGGACTTGGTCATTGCGGGAGTTGGTAGTCAGTACACACGGGCACGGCGGGCGAGGTGTCGCGTCGGTAGTTTGGAAAGGGAGTGATGGCGGCGCTGAGTATGGCGTGGTTGGGAGGATCGATTTGGTCCGTGAAAACGACGGGATCGATGACGGCGATGTCGACAAGGCCGACGTCGATATGGGCGCTGGGAAGACGGAGAAGGCGGGTGAGTAGCCTGACACGGCGATGGGGGAGTAAAAGCGTGAGAGGGATGTGGTGGGATTGTAGCGGCGAGTGAGGGCGGGGTCGGGCCGTTGTGTGGCGTCGTGTTGTAGAAGCG